CAAAAATTGCAAAAATTCCTGAAAATTAGAAAAAATTCTGAAAATTGCAAAATTTCCTGAAAATTGCAAAAATTCCTGAAAATTGCAAAAATTACAAAAATTACAAAAATTGCAAAAATTCCTGAAAATTGCAAAAATTGCAAAAATTCCTGAAAATGGCAGAATTTGCAGAAATAACAAAAATTGCAAAAATTCCTGAAAATTAGAAAAATTTCTGAAAATTGCAAAAATTCCTAAAAATTGCAAAAATTCCCAGAATCGCAAAAATGCCTGAAAATTGCAAAAATTCCTGAAAATTAGAAAAAATTAGAAAAAATTGCAGAAATTGCAAAAATTCCTGAAAATTGCAAAAATCGCAAAAATGCCTGAAAATTGCAAAAATCGCAAAAATGCCTGAAAATTGCAAATATCGCAAGAAGGCCTGAAAATTGCGAAAATTGCAAAAATTCCTGAAAATAGCAAAAATTGCAAAAATTCCTGAAAATGAAAATTCCTGAAAATTGCCAAAATTGCAGAAATTGCAAAAATCGCAAAAATGCCTGAAAATTGCAAAAAATTCTGAAAATGGCAGAAATAACAAAAATTGCAAAAAATCCTGAAAATTAGAAAAATTTCTGAAAATTGCAAAAATTCCCGAAAATTGCAAAAATTACAAAAATTGCAAAAATTCCTGAAAATGGCAGAAATTGCAGAAATAACAAAAATTGCAAAAATTCCTGAAAATTAAAAAAATTTCTGAAGATTGCAAATTTCCTGAAAATTGCAGAAATTCCTAAAAATTGCAAAAATTGCAAAAATTCCTGAAAATTAGAAAAAATTGCAAAATTCCTGAAAATTGCAAAAATCGCAAAATGCCTGAAAATTGCAAAAAGTCCTGAAAATGGCAGAAATTGCAGAAGTAACAAATATTGCAAAAATTTCTGAAAATTAGAAAAATTTCTGAAATTGCAAATTTCCTGAAAATTGCAAAAATTCCTGAAAATTGCAAAAATTACAAAAATTGCAAAAATTCCTGAAAATTGCAAAAATTGCAAAAATTCCTGAAAATGGCAGAAATTGCAGAAATAACAAAAATTGCAAAAATTCCTGAAAATTAGAAAAATTTCTGAAAATTGCAAAAATTCCTAAAAATTGCAAAAATTCCTGAAAATTGTAAAAATTGCAAAAATTCCTGAAAATTGCAAAAATTGCAAAAATTCCTGAAAATTAGAAAAAATTGCAAAAATTGCCAAAGTTCCTGAAAATTGCAAAAATCGCCAAAATGCCTGAAAATTGCAAAAATCGCAAAAATGCTTGAAAATTGCGAAAATTGCAAAAATTCCTGAAAATAGCAAAAATTCCTGAAAATTGCCAAAATTGCAGAAATTGCAAAAATTCCTGAAAATTGCAAAAATTGCAAATATTCCTGAAAATTAGTAAAATTTCTGAAAATTGCGAAATTTCCTGAAAATTGCAGAAATTCCTAAAAATTGAAAAAATTGCAAAAATTCCTGAAAATTAGAAAAATTTCTGAAAATTGCAAAATTCCTAAAAATTGCAAAAATTCCTGAAAATTGCAAAAATTACAAAAATTGCAAAAATTCTTGAAAATTGCAAAAATTGCAAAAATTCCTGAAAATGGCAGAAATTGCAGAAATAACAAAAAATGCAAAAATTCCTGAAAATTAGAAAAATTTCTGAAAATTGCAAAAATTCCTGAAAATTGCAAAAATTCCTGAAAATTGCAAAAATCGCAAAAATTCCTGAAAATTGCAAAAATCGCAAAAATTTCAGAAATTTCATGAATTCCTGAAATTTGTAAAAAATTCCTGAAAATGGCAAAAATTCCTGAGAAATGCAAAAATTGCAAAAATTCCTGAAAATTGCAAAAATTCCTAAATTCTTGAAAATTGCAAAAATCGCAAAAATGCCTGAAAATTGCAAATATCGCAAGAAAGCCTGAAAATTGCAAAAATTGCAAAAAATCCTGAAAATTGCAAAAATTGCAAAAATTCCTGAAAATTAGAAAAAATTGCAAAAATTGCAAAAATCGCAAAAATGCCCGAAAATTGCAAAAAATCCTGATAATGGCAGAAATTGCAGAAATAACAAAAATTGCAAAATTTCCTGAAAATTGCAAAAATTCCCGAAAATTGCAAAAATTACCAAAATTGCAAAAATTCCTGGAAATTGCAAAAATTGCAAAAATTGCAAAAATTCCTGAAAATTAGAAAAATTTCTGAAAATTGCAAACATCCTGAAAATTGCAAAAATTCCTAAAAATTACATAAATTGCAAAAATTCCTAAAAATTACAAAAATTGCAAAAATTCCTGTAAATTAGAAAAAATTGCAAAAATTCCTGAAAATTGCAAAAATTGCAAAAAATCCTGAAAATGGCAGAAATTGCAGAAATAACAAATATTGCAAAAATTCCTGAAAATTAGAAAAATTCCTGAAAATTAGAAAAATTCCTGAAATTGCTAAATTTCCTGAAAATTGCAAAAATTGCAAAAATTCCTGAAAATTAGAAAAAATTGCAAAAATTCCTGGAAATTGCAAAAATCGCATTAATGCCTGAAAATTGCATAAATCGCAAAAATGCTTGAAAATTGCAAAAATTGCAAAAAATCCTGAAAATTTCAAAAATTGCAGAAATTGCAATAATGCCTGAAAATTGCAAAAATTGAAAAATTTCAAAAATTCCTAAAAATTAAAAAAAATTACAAAAATTGCCAAAATCGAGAGAATTCCTGAAAATTGCAAAAATCACAAAAATGCCTGAAAATTGCAAAAATTGCAGAAATTCTGAAATTGCAGAAATAACAAAAATTGCTTAAATTCCTGAAAATTAGAAAAATTTCTGTAAATTGCTAAATTTCCTGAAAATTGCAAAAATTGCAAAAATTCCTGAAAATTAGAAAAAATTGCAAAAATTCCTGAAAATTGCAAAAATCGCAAAAATGCCTGAAAATTGCATAAATCGCAAAAATGCTTGAAAATTGCAAAAATTGCAAAAAATCCTGAAAATTTCAAAATTGCAGAAATTGCAAAAATGCCTGAAAATTGCAAAAATTGAAAAATTTCCTGAAAATTTCAAAAATTCCTAAAAATTGAAAAAATTCACAAAATTGCAAAAATCGAGAGAATTCCTGAAAATTGCAAAAATCACAAAAATGCCTGAAAATTGCATAAATTGCAGAAATTCCTGAAAATTGCAGAAATTGCAAAAATTCCGGAAAATTGCAGAAATAGCAGAAATTGCAAAAATTCCTGAAAATTAGGAAAAAATTTCTGAAAATTGCAAAAATGCCTGAAAATTGCAAAAATTGCAAAAATTCCTGAGAATTGTAAAAATTGCAAAAATTGCAAAAATTCCTGAAAATTGCAAAAATTGCAAAAATTCCTGAAAATTGCAAAAATTCCTGAAAATTGCAGAAATTGCAAAAATCGCAAAAATGCCTGAAAATTGCAAAAAATCCTGAAAATGGCAGAAATAACAAAAATTGCAAAAATTCCTGAAAATTAGAAAAATTCCTGAAAATTGCAAAATTTCCTGAAAATTGCAAAATTTCCTGAAAATTGCAAAAATTCCTGAAAATTGCAATGCGATTTGCGAATTGCTAATGCGAAATATTCATCATAATGTTGAAAACAATTTTAATTCTATTACTCCATACTCATATTCCATTTCGGCCTATGCATAATTTTACGGAATACTGATGTATATTGCCTAAAGCACAACTTGTAAGCTGTGCCTGTGGGACTTATTCGGAGAATTCAGACGACCGCAGAAGCCTCAAGGGGTAACACTCAAGGCCGCTTTTACTATAAATGTTGAAATATTTTACGCTAGAATGAGTTGGAGTGAGACATTAGACGACTTCCTTCGTTATCGGGCCCCGCCTCCTTCGGACAGAATTTTTACTTCCCCCTTTACACCTTAGATTTAGTTTGACCTTTTTCAGAGGGTAAACCCCTCCTTAACGTGTAATTTATGGAAATATTATCGTTTGTGAAGTTTTTCACAGTTATTTTAGATTTCCATCGTGTAACTGACAATTCAATCCAAAAAACATGAAATGCTTATTGATTTCTTCAACTCTCGTTTCCATCCAATGAAAACCATTTTCAGCAAAACAATTTCCGGACCCATGTTTCCTTATATTTCTCTGGAGAATAACCTAGCTTACGAGATATTTCGCCGTTTCGAATTTAACACCCTGTGTGAGCAACACGTTTGAATAACGTGCAACAAATAATGTATATGGTTTCGCCCCATACCCCTCTGCCCACCGCTGATTCCATCGTGGACCCAAATAATCGTTGTGTTTCTGTGTTTTTGCTGGGGCATGCGCTCTGTGCGGAATCCTGCACGACATCCTTTGCCGATGCTCGTTTCCCTTGATCCTTTCTATTTTCCAGCGAGTCTGAGATAAAAAAAAAACAACACCCCCGATTTGTTTGGTGCAAACAGTCCATCTGATGGCAGTGTTAGTGGGGTACCTAACCATGTCGCTTTTTACTCGTGGAATCCATGTTTGACCCATTGTTTTTTCAGTGGATCTTACTGAGAGACGTGTGAGGCTTTTTTTCTAATATCGTGGCAAGCAAATGAGTGTTTCCCTGTATGAGGCATTTCTGGGATTGTTCTTAGGAAAGCAGGATGGATATAGCAGAAAAAGAGTACAGGTATGTGTCGAGCCTATATGTATCCACAAACAATGTTACCAATCAATAGTTATGGTGGGCTGATTTTTATGGCCACACGTTTTCTAATGGGGTCAAGGTCGTTCACGAAGAAAATTTGTTTTTCTCTGAACGAGGGGTGAGTGATAGTCTTGAAGACGCCACTATCATTATCAAATGATTGTGGGCCCAGGATGCTTTCACATCCCTTTGACCTTAGCCTAGAAATTCACTTCACCTTGACATCGTCAGAAGTAACGACTATTGATGTTACCTGATTTTGTCTCGATGAGAGCACAGTTTGTCGCACCATTTCTGTTACACCCTGTGTAGGTGCTGATAATTTTCAGACATGTTTTGCCGGTGCCCATGTATCACAATGACTATAACATTTGGTCGGTTTTAAAGAATTGCATAGGAAAAGAGCTGAGCAAAATCACGATGCCAGTGGTATTCAATGAGCCTTTGAGTTTCCTTCAACGAATGGCAGAGTACATGGAGTACTCGCACCTTCTGAGGCTAGCCTCAGAACAAGAAGATCCCATACTCAGGATGCAGTACGTTATCGGTGAGTTCCAGATATTACGGAGAAGTGCGATTCCATCAACCCATTATTTTTTTCTTCAGGGTTCGCAGTGAGCGCCCTAGCTTCGAACTGGGAACGATTGGGGAAACCCTTCAACCCTCTGTTGGGCGAAACCTACGAATTGGAGCGGAAAGAGTTCAAGATAATATGTGAGCAAGTGAGCCACCATCCGCCAGTGTCTGCTTTTCACGCGGAAAATGGAGACTGGGTTTTCCACGGATCCATACATCCCAAACTGAAGTTTTGGGGGAAGAGCGTGGAAATCCAGCCCAAAGGAGTGGTTACTGTTGAGTTTCCCAAGTAATTTATTGTGGGGTGTGGGTTTCATATGGCAAAAACAACATATTATCATGGAATTTCAATCAGTACCTATAGGGTCTGTGAGTTTTTCTTTGGTTCCATAACAGCCGGTTTGAATGACCAGATGATAGAACATTCACTGATGTATCAATCAATGCGCTTTATTTTCTTTCGGAAGCTCCTTGATTGGGACCCCAAAATTCTCATTGCTTTGTTTCGTTTCACCTGAGATTTCTAGATTCCATATTCAGGATAATCTAGCTTTCATTTTGGTAGGAGCCGATACCAATTCTGCTTTTCCTACTGAAATAAATCGTCGCAATGTTCCATGAAATTGAATGGCTGTTGAAGATCTTTTTGGATATTGGAATAGACTTGCGACCCTATTGGGCGGAACAGTCGTTCGTTCTAGATCTAACCAAGCTACTTTTGCTCTGCAATCCTTTTTTTCGTAATTTATGCTTTTTTGTCTGTATGGAACCCACGTTTCTCAGGCTTCATCTGTTGAATGTGGAAGGATTAGTCCCGTTTTTATTTTAGATTGAAAGAAGCCTACACGTGGACGAATGTACAATGTTGTGTGCATAATATCATCGTTGGCAAATTGTGGATGGAACAGGTTGGAAATATGGAAATAACTAGTTTCTCATCTGGTCACAAAGCACATTTAACATTCAAGCAGGCTGGTGGTAATAGCAAAGATTTGCATAGAGTAGAGGGGTATATAGCGGATAAATCGTCAGTAATAGATTAGGCCCTATTAGACAGGTCATCATATTTTGCGTTTTAGGAAACAAAAACTGTTTTTTGTATACGGAAAATGGACGGAGTTCATCAAGTGTGCAGATTATCATTCATATGAAGAATGCTTGAAGGACAACAATTCGAAACTGACTTTGGGCAATGCAAAAAATAAAAGTCCTAATGACTCGCCTTCTCATACTTCTAGAAAAGTGCTCCAGAAACTGAATAGTCTCAAAGTTGGCTCATTCAAATCCAATTCAACTTCAGAAGTAAATATGAACTTATTTATACTTATACTATCGCATGCTGAGTGAAATAGTGAAATTCAAGAAGATGAACATACATAACCAAATTCTTGGAAAATTAGTGTCTCCTACTCATAGGAATGCACGAGTAGGTACTAGATTTTCTGAGTTGACTAGAGTGAAAACAAAACGTATAAGAAATTATCTACATGCATACCAATGTTTCAACATATGAACTTTGTCAATACATTTTTGGAGATTTAGCTGAACTGATAACTATTTGATGTTCTTTTAGAGTTTGGATGATCCCAGTGGAGATATTGGAGACAACTCCGTTCCTAAAAGTGATTCGACCTACTCAATCGATGTTCCAAATGCGATAAAAATTTGGACTGCTAATCCTAGACCAGCTCAAAGCAGTGATGTAAGATGGTTTTTCTTCATATGATATACTATAACAGAAATAGAATTATCTGTTTATTTTTCAGTATTATCAATTTACTGAGTTCGCAATGTCCCTAAATGAATTAGAAGCAGGCATGGAAAATTCCCTCTGCCCTACAGACTCAAGATTGAGACCGGATATTAGAAAACTCGAGCAGGGGGATATTGACGGGGCTGCCATTGAGAAAACTAGGCTCGAGGAAAAACAGAGGGATGCCAACAAACATCGTAAGAGTAAGAAAACATCCGAGTGGACCCCAAGGTAAACCCACGCAGCACAGTATATTCCTAGAATGTTCTCTAGAGATGCTAAGAAAGAGGAATATTATCCAAATTTCCACCGGATATTCCTAGAATATGCTGCGTGTAAAAAAATACACTCTTGTTGAACCCAAATTACTTTAAAGCCATTGTGTCAAAGTCATTTTCTGTCAAACTACCCCTGACATACCACCCCCAACGTCATTTTCTCAAGTTACACCCTATAGATTTTTTTGTTAATTAGTGGAGTGCAATCAATTCTAACTTCAACGATGTATCACACTATTTTGATTTTTTTTACAAGCAGCATAACTGACATATTGGTTGTATGAAAAAATCTGGGATATCCGCTATACATACCTCTGGAGCATCCAAGGGATATTCCAAAATGATATACAAGGCATATTCCAGCAGTAATATTCAGAAATGAATATTCTAGTTAGATTGTTCAGGGTATATTCAGGTATGAATGTTCTAGAAATATTCCCAACTGAATATTCATGAATTATTGCATGGAAATTCCCATGTTGTAAACACCAATCACTATTTCAAAGATGTAAGTATCAAGAATAGAAAATGTTGGAATATTCCAGGAACATTCATTCATTCATATTCCTGGATTTTCGCTGGAGTATTCCGAATATTAGAGATCCATATATTCTCTTGGACATATTCTATGAATATATGAGGAATTTCCATCTGCATATTCAGAGAATATTCCAATGATATTCTAGAATATCCTAGAATATTCCAAAAGGATTATATGATAGGAAGATCCATGGAATATCTGGTACTGTCTGGGAATTCTCGATTGATTTAGTAATTCGGATGTTGGTGCCCTCAAAGCGGAATTGATTTTATTAATGTTTTTAGATGGTTTCATCAAGGTATAAATCCTTACAACAAACAGGAAGATTGGTTGTATAATGGCAACTACTGGAAAAGACAATACACCGATCCAGATATATTTTAAAGGTCACCTTGTTGGATAGTGTAGACAGTTTTAGTCACCAGAATTGAATGTATACTAGACATGCCCCTATTAGTGGTAGATTGGTGTCTGTGTGTGCCAAAATCTTGCAGCACAAAATTATTATATCCATAACCTAGAAGACTAGTGCTTCCTGATGACGAAAATTTGGATTCTGTCAGTTCTCCAACGGTTAAATTTACCTGGAATCTTTCGGGATGTTTCATGTGGAAAATAACTCTTAACGCACCAAAGTGGGCATCTTGGAGCAATAATTGTTATCTTTATCTTCAGTTGAACTTTTTTTTCCTTTTATTTAGTGAGTGAGTCAGCTCTATCTTATCTGTCTTATCTCAGGAATCTATAGATAGCGTAGGATGATAATTATAGTATGTGATATGTGATGATGTTTTCCCCACACATATATGTTTCGCATCACATGATGTGATTGTAATAAGGTATGAGCAAATGTATCGTTGATTTGGGAATGCAACGTTCTATCAGAAAATGTACCAAAAAAAGAACGTGTAAATTTCGATATATTTTATCTAGGTTGCATAAGTTGGACAAAATAAAACTGACTTTATCAATAGTACCCATGATGATAATAAAACAATACATGCTGGTGACAAAAAAATCAGCATTGTCTATACAGGATGTTTCAAATAAAATTTGAACCCTTCAACAATTGCGATTTCAGTTTTTACGGCACTTCTAGGAGTACCAAAGTGGAGTTCACATTAATTTACTACCAAGAATGTATGTGCTCTGCAAAATTTTTAGAAAAATTTATTTTCAATAAATTTTGTGATTAGTTTTTGTTAGGAGATCCTGTATATAACCTCTATTGAATATATTTTTTTATCCTACCTCAAACATCAAATTACGTTCGTTACGTTGACTATGGTGACTGAATATTTCTATTGAAGTTCATTATTATTATTATCATCTAAGAAACCGTATAAGTGCTTTGAATGGATTTTGTGTGCTAAGTGGGAGAAAAGCTAGCCTTGTAAGAACTAAATTCTGATAATAATTGAATATTTGATATATAATGGTTCATCAAGACCTGCTTTAGTTCATATTCAGCACCGATTCTCTTATGATACTGTGCTTCTCGTGATCAAATTACAATCTATAGTCAGCTTACGAAAAATAGATTTCAGTTTCATATAATGAAGGGTATAATATTATGTATATACAAGGTGGCTCATGCGCGAGGATTTGGCCAGTCGTCACGAAAACTATTGTTTTTCAATTATTTCTGTACTAAATTCAAATTCTAATCTATCCTCGGAGAATATCCCATTCAAAGTTTCATGGAGTTGATGCCACGTGAACAGGAAGTAGCAATGAAGGCTTCACTATACAAGAAAAGTACCAAACCACCAAGTATTTTATTTCAAATAGTTTTCGACTGGTCAAAACCTCGTGGTTCACCCTATAGAAGTAACATCTTGATTTTTCCAGCTTTGTAGCTTTTAGTGATTAGTTGGATTAGTCGTGTTCTGTTCTAGTTAAAATAAGTCAATAAATGGGGAACACAGAACTAATAAATGAAAAGAGATCAATATTTAATTTATATATCAATGTAACATAAGAGTTATGATTTGTTAATGAATTAAAAATTTGTTAGCAGAATCTGTTTTTCTCCTTCTCCTATAAGTACATGTTTTATGAACATTTAAGCCGGATAATCTATGCGTGAGCAATGTTTTTCTGCACGTGGTGCTCTTTTTGGTAGAATGTGCATGATAAACAAAACACATTTGAGTTCCTTCGAGTAAATTTACTCATATCCAGGTAATATATAATAATGTTTGTAATATGAATGTTACATTTGATGTTTATTTTTTCTGTAATACAAACCACGTTACAAGACATGTAATATTAAACAAAATATCATTTTGATGATAAGGAATAACATAAAAAATCAACGAAAATATTGCAGCTTCAAAGCAAGATACCAAGATAAATAAGATTATGTATATTTACAAAAATTCACAACACAATGAGACTTACTAATATTGATCACTCATTTTCTTTGCAAACTGCACAATAATTAGTACAGCGAATTTTATCGTGTGACGATTGTGTTGTGTATTTTTGTCAATGAATATATAATATTCGAACAAGTACAGTGACAATGAACAATTATTGCACAACTTTTCAATATTGAATAACGTCAAAAGTTATATGGGTATAAACATGACAGATAATGGATCACACCTTCATACCAAAAATAAAAACTCAACTTTTTCCATATTCTCAACTAGAATGGGAAATATATTTTACAATGCATTCCTCGAAGGTCACTTTCGTAGTAGTAAATTAACCACATTCACTAAAAAAATAACTTCAGTTTGGTGGGAAAGTCGGTATGATGATCGGCATATGATTATTGATAGCATTATTCGAATGTATAAAAGAATGATCGAAGAATGACATTCCGATCTTATGTGCATTAGTCATCGTGGCGTCAGGCACATAGACAGCATGAGAGTTGCTGAAGAAGATACTCGTGTCCTGAGACGAGCATGCAGCCTCAGCACTGACTTGTAGATGTGTGGGTTCTCTAGGAAGCACCGCAGGCACGAATTGCGTCTTCTGATTAGTATGCACACGACTGCTGTGAAGCACACTTTGGTACCTATGCTTGAACACCATATCACAATGCTCACATCGATACCGTTTCTTGGAATGCCTCCAGAAACGGTGAAGTGCCAAACTCCTCTTCGTATGGTACCTGCTGACGCACGAACTACTGCACCAATTGCAAGACAAACCTTTCCTGGTCACCAGCTGGGCCATGTACTTGTCTATCAACCTGTTGACGCCTCCTCTAGAGGAGGACAAAGTGCCCCGCCACTTTCTCAGTTTGCCGCTCAGGTGTCTCAACACCTCCACTTCATCTGAGTCCCAGAAGGGCAGGACTACCTTCTTGGGCTGTCTCTGCTTCCTCGGGCGCTTGTCGCAGCTTGGCAGCTGCGTGGGAACAGTTCTGGTGGTCAGGCTGAAGTGGCTCGCCATGTGACTGATGATGGAGGCCTGGCTGTCGAAACCTGCATCGCACAAGCGACATCTGTACTTCGAGTCTGGGTCGACGTTCTCCTTGGAGTCATCGATTTTCGCGGGAGATGCTGCACTGTGCGTGTACTGGTGTGTTTCAAGGGACAAGTCGTCCTCGAACTCGCATCCGCACGTCTGGCATACGAAGAGAGGCAGTTCCTCTTCCCCATTGTCCTGGCCAACATCTCCCGCCTCAGGAAAATCCGACTGAATCCTGTGGGCCAAGTTGAGCCTGCTCATGTCTTCCGCGCCTCGGGATTCGCTTTCTGGCTCTGAGCCATCGCTGGCCTCCATGTAGTTGAAGAGACGGGCGGCTCCGTGCTGTTTGGGCATGTGGTTCTTCCATGACTTCACGTCGGACTGGAGGAAGCGGTTGCTTTGTTGGAGGAGAGCAGCTGCTGTCGTCAGGTCGTGGGTTTTCAAGAGTCCTTGGGATTGACTAGAAAAGTGTAAATTTCTTGGTATATTTTGAAAAACCGCACTGAAGAATAATTTCCTTCGTTTGAATGGAGAGATATTGTTGGGTGTTGGATGTTGGGATTGTTAACTCACCTGTAGGAAGTTGTGTTCGTATTTGCTATGGTACTGGGGGTTGTAGAAGCACTGGCATTGAAAGAACTCGTCCTCAGTATGTTACTGCTACTACTGCTACTGCTCGACCTATTCCTCTGCTCCAATGGGCTGTAACGCAAAATAAAATCATCATCATCCACTGACAAGTTAGCTGTTTGAAATACAGTTTCATAGTTGAGTCAGTTTTTTCCAGTAGTATCTTTGCTCTAAGTGAAGTAAAGGGCTGATGAATGTACCAGGACATTATTGTTTCTTATAGACCTCTAATCGCAGATTCGTGATAGAGTCTCAATTCAGAATTTCTTTCCACGCCCTGTATGATGAATGTCAATTTATCATACACCCAAAAGCAATAGATTTTGAACGCCCTATACCTAAATGAAGTTGATAGGACTTTTTGATGAAGCGGCAACGTCGCAATATTGAAAATCTTTTAGATCGATAGAGCAGGTGATGAAATTTCAGATGCGAAATTTTCATAAAAATCCTTTATTGCGTCCTCTATAAACGTCCTGGTCTAACCTACTATCGACCATGAGTTACTTTGTATATGCTTCGAAAATTCGAAAATATTCATCCCCAGCTCTGACAAGAATAAATTATTGAATAAATAAAAAAATAACTTACTGCTGTTCCTGTTGGTGAACTGACAGTTGGGTCAAATCATCAGCAAGGTAATTGCATTTCCCACAAGCCCTTTTGTTGTGTACTTTGAGCACGTGAGTGGCAAGCCTCTCAGACCTAGCAGCCTTATAATCACATAACCCGCAAACGAAAGGCTTCAAATGCGTGTTCATGTGTCGCTTAAGGCACCAGTTGTCGACTCCTGACCAAGAACAATAACAGCAGCTGAATCTCTTCTCGCCCTTTTTCTTTCCGCTGCCTCTAGATAAACTCCCAGATTTTCCGTTGGATTTCATGTCTGGCTGTATCCGAGAGTTCGAAAGGTTCCTGGATACGTTGTTGAAACCTGGAATGGACAGCGAACCAATTGTGGATAAATCGTTCGACTGGGTAGAAGGATTCGAGTTGTTGTATTTCTGGTAGTAGGACATTCCAGACGCATTTTTCGGAGGGTGCCTTCTTATCCTATTGAGGTCATATGGGTGATCCCTATGCATTCTCAAGAAATGTTTTTTGACGTGGTCCGCCCTATTGAACTGTTTCTGACACACGTAACACTGAAAGGGTTTTTCCTCCCTGTGAATATTCTCGTGTCTGGTGAAAAGATCTCTTCTGTCGGTAGCGTAAGGACAAAACGTGCAGCTATATCGTTTACTGGCATTGGAACCTTGCTCCGAGTTGGATGAAGCAGCACTGTTTGCTACCTGTGTCGGTACTGGTGTATTAGGGGAAGCATTAGAAACTGTTTGGTTCGCATAGTCTGCGTTCTGTGCAGTACTACTCGAGCTCGACGTTTTGCCACAGCTATTTTCTATCTTGTTTTTCAACCTCTGCAGATATTTCAGGATCTCTTGTAGCACTGGGTTGTCTTTGGTCAAGGTGTCACAAGACTCATCTGTATTGATGTTGTGCTGACGATTCAGATGTATCCTCACGCATCTTGCCCAAGCACTCTCATAGGGACACTGTGGACAGTGGAAGGCTCGTACGGCTGAGTGTGTGCCCAGCCAGTGTTCAGCTACTCTCAGAAGATATCCTGCGCAGTCGCACTCGCAGCATCTGAAAAGTTTCTGCGCTGGGTTATAGGTCGCTATTTTTGATTGGGTCCATTGTAGAGCGTCCTCGCTAGAGATCCACTTATCTTCTAGGTTACTGCCTAAGAGTATTCCGGTGTTTGGTTTGTGGCATTGGAAGCCTGAGTTCAAAATCCCGCTAGCAGGAAAGCCATTTTGCATGAGGGCTGCTAAGCCGAAAGCAGTCAAATGCTCATCTGGTTTCAGTATAGGGCTGTCTACTTCGTATTCTATGGGAGTGAGACCTCGATCTTGACTAGTGGAAGCCAGTCTGTCATTGGCACTCAAATCGGGTAAGCCATCTTCTCCGTAGAGTTTTCGCGTGATTTCTTTGAACATGTCCTCATAACAGTCGATGGCACTGCCAGACATCGGCATAGCCACTTCCATTGTCGAAGATTTGCCCCAATTCGAGGACTTATAACCTATAAAATAAATTGACAAATTCAAATAGTTTGTTTTTTGTTATGGATATGATTGAAATATCTCAAAATGTTGAAGGTCACAAGGTGGTCCAGATTTTTCTATATCGATTTTGAGATATGATAGAGACTCAATGAACAAATTCATAGAGTGCATCATAACTTGAATGAGGGCATTGACGTTCAAATCAGAAATCTTTGATATTCCATATCTGAGGAAACACAATAACAAATTCGGGACACTTTCGTTCTATGTAAAATTCTAATCGACTTGAGCTTACAGGGGTTGAATAATAATAATAATAAAATCGACTTTTTGTTTGTTTCTGTTAATTTTGTACTGAATATACAAATAAAACGTATTTTTGACTTCCTTTGAAGGTAGTATACCTATCTTTCGTTATTCACGTGTAACAGAATTTAACCGCCTTGTTCGTCAAATTTTCACAGGATTGATTTCTTATATCCAGTGGCATACTAATTATTTCTAGGAAAGAGGTATGCAACCTCTATATCGGCGCCTATGGAGTCCTGTGAATATTTTCGACTTGTAGATACTGGTGACACGGGTTCACATACCTCAGTTTTGTATTTTCTTCAACAATCTGGACCACCCTGTATAAAATATGGTGATGCTCGATTCGTTGCGAGTAAGCTGCTTTTGGTACATTAAAAATTGAGAAATTGTATTCTGGAAAATCTTGAAAAAATTTAAATTACTCCTTTTAACAATCAAGTTGTCATTGATGAATACCTACTAGATTTTCGAGTGCCATTCCTGTGATTACTTCATTCACACCTGGCTGCACCTATGAAATTTCATGATTGAAGTCACATGATATGCGATATCAGTGGCTATTTAGGTAAACAAACATAATATGAGCGACTATTCTGTTCGACAGCATCAGAGTGCTATGATTGTCAAAGTTTGACATTTTATATCAGTCACTTAAAAATTGAAATGTCTCGTTTTGGTTCTACTTCCACTATAGAAATCAGCAGTAATTATGTAAGCGAGTCAACATCAGAATATACCAAAAAGAGTGAAGAGTCTGCCTGCAATTTTTGTTTTTTTGCCAGCAGAAAAACTTTGAATTTTGTGCGACTCTACCCCAAGTAGATCGTGATTGCCAAAATCCTGGAAGATTGGGTGAAGAGTATGGTGAGGAATATGAAGAGTACACAGTTGAATCGATATGGAAACCTATATAGGAAGTATACTTTCCTGAACATAAACGTAAGATGAATCCATTTGAAGATATCGAATTCAAAGGTGCTATCAGGGATGCACATAATGCGAAAAAACAAAGCCTGCAATATTTTCCTCAAACAAGAAAGGCAAGTTGAGAAGCTCTAACTTTAGATGCATTGTATTTTTATACAGTTCATGAAGTAGAGACTATTATTTTCTCAAATTCATCTCGAGTACCTTGTATTTTGAGACAATTCAATTCAATATGAACATCATCATAGATAATGGTCTCATCAAATTGTCAAAATACAAGGTACTCTCGATGGAATTATGAGAAGAATTTTTCATGGTCTCGGGATATTACCTACGAATATCGCATCAGAACAGTGAATTTGGGTTGATTATACCAGAGGTGATGACTAGTGGTTAATAAAATAACGAAAACTACCTTGGTAGTAAAAACACACTTCACGCCTCGAAAAGGAGTAAATAATGTTAGGTTTTATAGCTAGTGGTGGAAAATAGTCATTTATACACCAAGGTAGTAAAGAATATCATTATTACCTAGGGACCAAGATAATATACCGAGGTAATGATATTCTTTACTACCATGGTGTATATAACTTTTTTTTCACCACATGCAATATATTTCAATCATTATCGTTCTGTGAAACTGAAATATGGACCTATATTGTCACTATGACTGCACTTCCCTTCAATTCTAATCAAAATAATAGCCATGACTATGACAGCATATGTCAAGTCGTCATTGATGAATACGTACTATATTCGAGTCCCATCTCTGCAGATATCGCATTAGAACAGTGAATTCAGGTTAATTTAAACAGAGAGGTTGCTATGTCATTATTGACTAGTGGTTAATAAAATGACGAAAACTACCTTGGTAGTAAAAACACACTTGACGCCTCGAAAAGGAGTAAATATTGGTAGGTTTTATAGCTAGTGGTGGAAAAACATACATACCTCTGAGAATTTCGGTCTGCCAGTCGATGAATCGGCTATCGCATGCATGCCTGCCTAACCTTCCCGCTGCGCCGCCACTGCCATATCATGATCGCTGCCGTCGGTCCCGCCAATGTCACGACAGCCCGAATATAAGGAAACTCTGAGACTCAACACGCTGTAGAGCGCACACAAACTCTGCGAGGGCATGACATCATTCCGATTGAATGAAAAATCCACGCACCGGGAACTCGGGGGGATTTTCTCGGGGATGAAAACAGAATGATCGCGATCGGGAGCGAACGCATGAGACGCCGGCTCCTTCGATGTCTGACCCACCCAATACTGCGGCACCCGCTACCCGCCTGGGGCTTGGGGCTTCCTACCCCCCTCCCCCCTAGCCCGACTCCCACTCACGCGCCCGGCCACCCTCTCGCGCCAACCGCCCACCCCGTTGCGACCCTCTGTGTCGTACGTGGCGAGGCGGCGTTGCCGATGTGGAAAAAGATTCCGGGGTACTGTGATCAAATTAAAGTCAGCAGAAACGAGAAAATTCAGAGCAGCATCGTATTTTCTTTCATGTTTACTAAAGTTATGCAGCAACATTTAACAATTATCAAGTAACATTTATCATTTAACAAGTATCAATTGAAAAATACTGTCTGTAGGTTAATCGAGGAGGTGGTACATTCATTATTCCAAATTTTTTGGGATTTTCTCTCCTCGTTTCTATAAAATAAAAATATGAATATCATTTCAATGTACGTGTCGTAAGGACAAATCAGAGGATTCGCCCCAAAATGTCACTGCGTTTGAAGAATTTTCCTATCAGAGAGCCTAAAAGAAAAATTCACCAGCTTGTCAGTGACAATTTGTATTGAAAAAAGTTTGGAGAAGAGAAATAAAGGTATATAGAAAAAATATCAAATATTCACTTATCTTTGGACGTTTCGGGACCGAATCTGCTCCCGTTTTCAACATAGATTGTAGATGGGTCGTATAAGCTGAGAGACCTCTCGATCACTGCGACCTAGAAGATCTATTGTGATTACCCCTATCTAGTTTTGGTCCTCTAACCCTACAAAAGCGGCAAGTGTCAGTCTCCGCCAGACCCATCTTTTTGAGGTGGTACCTCAGAGGGCCGTGTCCTGTGAGAAAGCCTGTGATAAGCTTTAGCACTGGTTTGCTGAGGCTGAGTAGCTCTTTGGCTCGGTTCTGCGAATGGTTGATGAACCTTTTCGCTTCACTGAGAAAAATGGGTCAAATGATTATTTCATTCAGAAAATTGTATTGATCACTAGCGAAACTATTACTGCCTGTGAAACATAAAATAACTGGACCAAAATTATTGATTCATTTGGTATCGCTCACCTACCATAAAAGTTTCTAAATTTGAAACAAGCGTCTACTGATTTGCGGTAAAACAATTAAAATAATCATTTTCATCATTTGTAGTGATTTCTCAACGATTTTGTCTCAAATCATGTTATTGATGGAGTGAATAGTAATATCATTTGTTATGAATGAAAATGATTGCTCGTCAGAATAGAAACTGTTTGCAGCCAATCAGATGCTTTTCATCTAACAAAACAGCACCAGTTTGAGATTAACGGTTTTTCATTGTGCAGAAATGAAAATTAATTGTCCACAACAAAACTACTATAGGTTGGTCAATAACAGTTGATTTGAGAAAAATGCTTTCCTATTCGCCATTAAATTGCTGTCCTTTCGATTCCGCAAATATATCGCTAATTGATAACCAGTTCATTCTCATTTTCAACAAATCAAAAACCACTTGGCCTCCATGAGCCGAAATCCATTGAGCCGACATCGTTGCCGATTGCTAGATATAACTCCCCAAATTAGGTACGCAAGTTTGAGATGTATTGGATAATTTTCTAACCTTATCAGTAGAATATCTAATTCAGATAGGTGCATACCAGACATTCAGACATACAACATCAGATAATAGGTAAATATAATTCAACATGAAAATAATAGAAATGAATAAACAATCTAAGATATTAGGTATACAATAATATATATATACTAATAATCTCTTATAGGTCATGCTTTTCGCACTGATACCGTATTGTATTGTTTTGAACGAAGTCCATGTGGAGTAAAAAGTTTCAGTCTTAACGTTTACTGATAGATGGCGATATATTATGAGGAAATGAACACTAATAACGCCAAGATCAAAGATAACCATTGATTCTCCTACAGACTCGTAGGCTTTTGTTGAAAAACAAAAAATGATTATATTCTTACAAGAGCGCATATTGATTTTTGATACTACCTACAGTACCTACCTATAGTTAGTTATAAGTAATCAGAAATATCCTGATGTGAGGGTTCTTATATTTTCACCTAGTCGCCATTTTTTGTTTCTTCTTAGGTACCAAGAACTCGTCATGAATATCACGATGACATTCAATAATTATTTTTCTCATTCTCTTTTTTAATTTAAAAAGTCCACCATTATTGGCAACATAGCAATAATGTTCACCGATGGGCGGTGTGGTGGGGTCGATGTCGGCTCGGAGATGAGATTTGTTTTTAGTTACTGTGACCGGCTTTCATTCTGACCATAAAATATAGGAGATCAGGATAATACTTATAAATACTATACCAATTTTTGCTTGAATGGGGCTTGAGAGTTTCTACGAGGACTTTTTAGGTAAGTGTGAATATAATAATGATAACATGTGAATTAAATATAGGGTTTAGGTGAGGTAAAGGTACGGATGTACATTGTAGGTAAATAATTTATAGGATAATAGTTATTATAGTTGATGTTCGTATGTTCTTTGTCTTGAAAGTCAAATGAAATTTCAAGCTATTGTGTTTGTGAATTCAGATCATACAATCAATAAAACAATTCAAGTCTTATAATTTTTTGTGTTGCAGCTATGCCATGGGTAATAGTGGAATTTATGAAGACAGGCGAAGTGATGGAGGGTATACCTTTCAAATGGAATGATGACAACGATCAGATGATTGTCTACTTTTCATTCAAAAAATCGCAGTTGGAAAAGGCAATCAAAACATAAATGGAACAAGAGCCATACTAGAAAAATTACAAAGTTGTTTTGATGAGGCCACAACCGATTGAATATTTAGAATGAAAAGCAATGGGAACAAATCGAAAAATATCTGTGGCAAATAAATGATGATTTGAAAGATATAGACAATGTTCTTTGCAATAATACAAACACCCAGTAGTAACAAAATTGAAACGATTTGCTTCCAACAGAAAACTGATTTGTCTCAAATAATGTGCTAATACATGATGAATGAAACATACATTAATGGGCAATGAAGGTGATGCTGAGAGCTAATTGAGAGATGATTTGAGATTATACATTATGGTCACTTGAAGCAAATGCCAATCACTTGATATAAAAACGCGACCATTTGTGTTCATCATATATGTTATGAGTTATAAATAAGTAAACATTTCGTCCTAGTTGAACAGAATAATTGCTATAAAATAATCTCAAATCATTGGTAACTCACGTTGAATATTTGAACTATTGGTTGTAAGTATTGGAGTTATTACCTCGGCAAAAGTTTCGAGTTATTTGCTTCAAATGCATAGTTCACTCGTCCCCTATTTTGTTGAGGTTTTCGCTTGGGAGAAGTGGTTTTTGATTTGTGATCAATGAAATTTTTTCTCCGTGTTGTCGTTGACCTGGAGTTGCTCTCCAGTAGGAGAAAGAAATGATTATTTCAATAGCAAAGTCGTATCTGTCTTGAAGCTTTTCAGATTTCATTCGCGATTGGTGACATTGGCAATCATTTGAGTTACAGGATGTTTTCATTAATTAATCTTGAATTCACCATTTTCATGTTCAGATTTTAGTAGTGAATACCATGTTCTGTCTATATCAACTGAACAAGAAGCAATGCTTGCTCCTTGATTTTTCTCTTCTGGTTGTTATCTTCTTTTCCAATGATTTTAATATTATTCCACTCTGCCATATGTTGTCCGTCTTCAGTAAGAATATGTTCAGCTAGTTTCGATTTATCGATGTGTCTTTTCTTTATATTGTACTTATGTTCCAAGAGACCTCTTTCAGTAAGCGACTCTCTTTCAGATCAGAAAACATTTCGAAATTCTAAATTTCAGCTCCTTAGGAAAATTGTAAACAACAAATATGTAGGGTTATGGCCTTGGAAGCCCAAATTTCGGGAATGTGCGGTTGCGTACTATATATTTATTAATTGGTGATTTGGTATGCATAAATGTCAATATTCTCATCACTTGTTAATTGGTAATTGTTAATTGATGAATTTTTCTTGATAATTGTTGAATGTTGCTGCATAAATCCACCTTAACAACAATTCAATATGCTATTTTATATATTTTTCAAGTGTCGATTCCATGTTGTGATTCCTATAGATGGTTTATAGGCTTATTGAGCGAGTAGATTGAATGAGAACCATACACAAACTGAAAATGAAATATTCCTTGGCTGTATGAAAAAATCTGGGACAACGGTATTTTTGTATTTGAATCGGAGACTTGTTTTTTTCTTTCTGAGATATTCTATCAGCTATGTCTGGCATCGTTGCATATGGCAGCAACGTTGCCACACACGTCTTCCACCCCTGTGACGACGACGCGAAGAAATTAGTCTCTTGTTATTGCTTTATGTCTGTATTCGAGCCGGCCTGGCTGATTCCGATCGAGTTCAATAATCCCAGTTCCATTGAACAAATACATCGATCAGGTGTTTCATTTTCCTTTAGATGTGCTCAAACTCCATCACCGAGTCATTAAATTCTAGGGTAGGTGCCTAGACAAAAAAATCTGATTTGTTTTCAGAGATATTCAAATAAACTACCTACTTGCCTATCTCAAGATCATATAGGCTACCAGATTTCTTGTGTAATTTTTTCTACACAGGTAGAATATTCAGTCCATGGTAACTCAAAGGGGAGTGGGGTAGTTCATAAATGAAAAACCCAAAGTCATCTCTACAACTTTTATTAAAATGATCAGAGATCATTAGAGGTACAAGTTTCGGGCTTATATAAGCCCATCATCAGCCGATGAATAGTTCAAAGTTATGGAAGAGAAAAAAGTTGAAATTCAATTAAAGTGGACAATAACAGAGCAAACAAAGGCAAATGCTTCATGATTATATTGGCGGATCAGTATTTTCATTTATTGCTTATTCATTGCTGGCCCAGTGATGAATGAATAATGATGTATATTCAGTGCATTCCCAATGGAAATTGAGTGGTTTATTCGTACACGAATACTCTGAGGTTATGTGGAAAAAATATTATTTCACTCATATAATGAGACTAACTACAATCAAATAACCTCAATCAAAACAGAGCTAAACTTTCGTATTTGGTTATCTTCATCTGATGAGTTCGTGGATTCCGTTTATATTGCTTCATATTGGAATTTTTTGTATAGGTGGAAAATGGGCAAAACTCAAATACTT